GGGTGAGGCTTTCGTGCGTTCCCAAAAGGTGGGAAGCTACGGACGTGCCCGACCTCGGCTCATCCTCAATGCGACCGCGCCGTATTAAGGATGAGCCCAAAGGGGCGAGGCCCTTGAGGCGGAGTCGACGATCGTTGATGGCCTCGCCTCTGTCGGGTGGAGCTCGCATGCAGTTATCAGAGCGCCTGAAGTCGCCTCATATTTCGTCTGATTTTGTGCGTTTCAGGCGAGGGTCTTTTAATACATGCCGTGAACTTCATCCTTTCAGATCTCCATTAATGAAAAAAAAACATTCATCTTAGCTAAAGACTAGAGAGTGGTTGACAGCGGAAGCACACACGAGAAGGCTAATTCTCAGCCATTACTACATAATGGAGGGATTTATAGTGACGTGACTTTAGTTGTCATGAGCTTGTGAAAAGCATTTCCCTATATGGCTCGATGCAGGACAAGATCGAAATGGTCTTTAAGGTCTTTTATAGGATTATTATGCAGTAATGAGGCAAGGTGGAAGGCGTCGGATTTGTAGCAACAGTTTTGATGTTCGCGGGATTTATCTTATCTACGCCATCGAATGAACTGGTAAAGGTTTGTCAAAACTAATAATTCATGGCATTAATCAGTTCTAATGGCTTTCGGTTTTCTATCACAAACATTTTTTTATGTCAGTTTTTTTTATTATTATTATTAAATAGCTATTTGAAGTTAGAACTTTTTATAAGCTAAAAAGGAAAAGAAACACATGGGTATGTGCCGTCGAGGGCTCAGGACAGTTACTGTTGTCGAACTGGTTTCATTCTGTTCTGAAGCACTGAAAAACGTATTTTTGTTGTATTTTCTTCCTATTATGAGAAAAAAAAAAATAAGCAAAAGTTAAAACGATAGAATAAGTGAATTCTTCAAATTTTATTTTCGATCAGCTAATGCCCCAAGATTAAATATCGTATCACAGATTTCTCCCATTCGCCATTTTTTATTTATTTCCAAAGAAAAAAAATACGTACAACGATACTATTGCTACCTTTTAAACCTACAAAGATGCAAACCATATGGAAGTTGCTATAAATGTTTCTAAATGAACATTACCTGGTTTTCAGAGCTGTTCTCATAATGCTGATCTGATGAATAAACATTTCCCTATGTATTGTACATGCAGTACATGTGCCTGCTTGATTCTTTAATTGTATTTGTATATATATATATATATATATATATATATATATATATATATATATATATATATATATATATATATATACATACCTATAAACCAACACAAGAAAAGGACAAGAGGACAGAATTAGACGAAAAAACAAACACACAAAACGCCGCCTTGCCTCGTGCACACGCGCGCCTGAGTCCTGGCGGAGGCCTCCTTGACCCAAGACGTCGCGAATGCTCTCTTGCAGGTCTCGCGAAGTCCCTGACGGCAGGCTATCTAGCGCTGTCAGCAGTCTTATCAGCAGCTCGAGGGTTTTGTTTCATTTTTCTTGGCTCTGCAAACAACGAAGGTAGATTTAGCGACTGGAGATGAATTCGCAGCTATTATTTAAAGAAAAATTGAAAGGAAAATGGTCTGCAGCACAAGGTAGTGAAGGAGGAAGGGGAAAGGAGGGAGGAGGAGGAGGAGGAGGATGTGGAGGAGGAAAAAGTGGGAGAGGAGGAGCTGGAAAATCAGAAAACGAAGAAAACAAAAAGAAGGAGGAGGCGAGAGAACAAAATACAAATATACGTAAAAAGAAAACAGGGAAAAGTATATTCCTTTTACCTATGTCCTGCGTAAACTTTCTTTTTGACAATAATTATTGTCTCACCTCAACAAGGGCATTGATGGTCTCTGAAGTCCGCTCTTGTTCCTTCCGAAGGGCGCACATGTCCTGTTAAGTGAAGTACATTCTGTTATATAAACTCAATCGCACAATTACTGACATGTATATTCATGTATATGTATGTGTGTGTGTGTGTGATATGTATTACATGCCCTCTCTTTCTCTCTCCTCATCTCTCTCGTTCTCTTTCCCCCTCTCCATTCCCCTTTCTCTCTCTCTCTCTCTCTCTCTCTTCTAACTCTCCCTCTTTTCTACTATCTCTCTCATTCTCATTCTCTTTCTCATTCACTCATTCACTCCCTCCCCTCCCCTCCCTTTTCCCCTTCTCCCTTCTCCTTCTCTTCATCCTTCTCTTCTCACCCTAGCTCGTTATTCCTTCCCTTCTTCCCTTTATTCCTCCTACCCTTCCATTTAACCTCCCTTCCTCCCTCCCTCCCTCCTCCTCGCTCTATCTCCTCTCCTTCCTCCGCCTTTCCTTCCTCCGTCCCATCTCTCCTTCTCCCTCCCTCCTTTACTCTCTACTACCCTTTCTCCCTCCCTCCTTTACTCCTTCCGTCCATCCATTTCTCGTTCCCTTCCCTTCCTTCCTCTATTTCTTTCCTTCCTCTCCCTCTCCCTTCCCTCCCCCTATCTTTCCTTACCCTTTCTTCCTCGCTTTACCTCCCTCCCTTCATTCTTTTGCCTCTTCCTTTCCTTTCCCTCGCCTTTTTCCCTTCCTCTCTCCCTCCCCCCTACCTCCCTTCCCTTCCCTCCCTCCCATCCACCCCCTCTCTCATCCATCCATTTCTTTCCCTTTCCGTCCTTCCTCCATTTCTCTTCCTTCTCATACCTTTCCCTTCTTCCCTCCATTTCTCTCCCTTCTCATACCTTTCCCTTCTCTCCTTCCCTCCCTTCCCCTCCTCCTCCAATCCCCTTTCCCCCTCCTTCCCTCTATCCAATCATCCATCCCTCTCTTTCCCTCCCTTCTGCCTCCCCTCTCCCTTCCATCTCTTTTCCTTTTTCTCCACTCTTCCTCCCTGCATCTCCTCCCCGTCCTTTCCTCCCTCTCTTCTCTCCCCCTATTCGTGCTTTCTCTTCCTTCCTTACTTACTCCATTTTCCCTCCCTCTCTCCCCTTCCTTCCCTTCCCTCCTTCTCCTTCATCCATTTTTCTCTTCCACTAACCTGTGCAAGTTCTCGTGTTCCTCTTCCATCTCCTTTCCGCCTTTCTCCTTGAAGGCTCTGATGATATTGGGCTTCTGAATCACAGTTATGAGAACTTCTTTCACAGCATTCACGATCACGCAAGGTATTATGGCGGACATCTAAAATAAAAATGAAATAAAGATATAAGGTAATAAGGTAAATAAGTCAATAAACGATTATATCAACGTATTATATTTTTTTTTCTATTTACTTTTCTTTTTAAATTTACTATTACTTTGTAGAGCGAAAGAAGCGTTTCAGAATTAGAGACATGGAGGAAATAGGAAATAGATAATGATTACACACACAACACACACACAACACACACACACACACACACACACACACACACACACACACACACACACACACACACACACACACATATATATATATATATATATATATATATATATATAGAGAGAGAGAGAGAGAGAGAGAGAGAGAGAGAGAGAGAGAGAGAGAGAGAGTGAGAGAGAGTGAGAGAGAGAGAGAGAGAGAGAGAGAGAGAGAGAGCGAGAGACTCGCTGTCCGATGTCTAATTAGCGTTCGAAACTTTCCTTCCAACAAGTTGTACAAGAGTTTCGACCGTTCGGAACCCTACTTTGTCGTCCTGGACCTCTTGTTCCTCTCGTCACAACAGCGTTTCTATATAAACATTAAAAGTTGCGGGTAACCAGAAATTAATGGTAATCGTTGTTATCAAAAGTTATTTTAGTGTTTTAGTGTTGGAGAGAGGCTCTGGGATCACAGTGACTATAAACCTATGCAGTGTAGAAAATAAAGACTGGTACGATAATGCATTGTGGGTAATGACGGCCCCGGAGAGTTCCGGCCGCGGCCTCTTCGTCCTGCTCGTTCTGACAGGTTGTCCGGACGAGCAAGGCAAGGTGTTCTGAACGCAGCAGTGTAGCGGTGTAATATATGAAGTGGGAGGCGATGTCCCACTCCCTCCACTATTATTACTTGCAGTTTGGTAGAGCGTGGTCGAGCGGTAAGGCAGTAGTAACTAAGGTGCTGACGTACTGGAGTACTCTGAAGATGTTGGTGCAGTTAAACTTGTCGCAGTTTTCTTGTCTTTATTCTGGGTAACTGGTACAGAGGGCAAGGCAGGTGCCCAGGGAGGAGCGCGTCTGCCAAGCCCACGAGGGCGACCGGTCTAAGAGTATGGCACAGGAATTGCCATGGACGAAGTTCGTTTTTAAACAATATACAATGGAAAAACATGAAAGAATATGGATGAACATAAATTCAGAAACATTGGTTCACATGACCGTTTCGTGGAGAGGAACAAGGGTATATGGTTGACATGATATCGGTATGTTTTAACAACCTTACATCTGGTGGTTAGGGGACAGAATACTGAGTGTTCATGAAACATGAAACACTTGAATATCAATAGTAAAATCAGTTACATACATAGTGATTTAGATCAAGCATTTTATAAGAAACATTTTCAGTATAAACAGGACATATTTATACTTGAAGACAACAGAATAAAAACATTGAAAATGTATGATAGTAATAAGGGTCAGATTAGCGTGTTCTACGGTTACTTTTGTCAATGTCGGGCACAGGGCAGGTTGAAGTACTTGTGATATAAGAACACATGGCTTTCGTGGTCTTCGAGGGGTGAGCA